ACCTTTTGAATATGTAGATTTATCAACGATTGAAAAACGTGCCAAAGCAGCTGGCAATGAAAAATCAAGAGATTTCATAAGGAACGAATTAGGTTTTGAAAGCTACAAACTAAGCACAGAAGAGGCCGCACAAAAATATAAATACAATATTAACCAAAAGCATCGCAAATAAAGATCTTCCCTATATCGCCAAAGAAGTCAGCGAGATTTTAGAAAAGGTCACAAAACTCGAGGGGATTCAAAATGAAACCGAAGGGTATAACTCCGGGAACTCAGGGCTTTTGACAAAGATATGCAAACAAAAAGAGGGGCTGTAGCATTCAAGGAGAATCAAATAATAATTACCGAGTTAGAAACTGAGATATCACAACTCGAAAACGAACCCGCACATCAGAGCAATCTGAAGAACGCAAAACACGTTTACAAGAATTAAAAGATCAGCTAGAAGGGGTAAAGCCTCAAAAGCCAACTTAGAGAGTGAGTTAAGAAGTCAGATCTCTCAAATTAAAGGCTTAGTTAATAATGTTTTAAAATCAGATAAAACACTTACTGAAAAAAATCAACACGCTGTTTCGAGAACAAGGCTTAACTATCGTTAGCGTATTAACGGCTTTGTCGCTGGCAGTAAGTACCCTGGTCAACTCCATCGTTGGCGCCACCAGAGCTGTTGGTACTCCGACGCCTGCGCTTGCTCCCGAGCCTGCACCACCCGCACCCCTTAAACCCAGCAGGGAGAAAGAATGGGTCAAAAAGCAGTTGCAGAACTTGGCCAATGCGTTAATTAATAAAACAGCGTTGGGAGCTCTCCCCGGCGTGATCGATAGCGTGCTGTCTTGGTTGTTGAACGTCGCGGGCAACGCGGTAGGTTGGTTAGCCGAGCACGTGTGGGCTTTGGTGGTCGGGGTAGGTGCTTTGGTGATGGCTTATGTGCAAAAACGGTAAGTTTGTACAGAATAAACTTTGGGGGGAAAAGCCTTGCAACTCCTTTTGGGGAGTTGTAAGTCTTTTTTTGCGCTCGGTTTTTGGTTTGGGGCAGCTTGTTTAGGTGACTACTTTATCCGCCAAGAAAGCGATTCCAGCGACGGCTAGAGCTCCGATCGTCACAGACAATTACTTTTGGTCGTTGTGAACTTCTTGCGGCGTTTTTTCTAGAGGTGCAGGAGTAGACAAAGGAGGTAAAGGAAGCGTGGGCTCTGGTGCAAGCTCTGGCTCTATAGCTCTGACCCTAGCTCAGAAGGCGCGGAAGTAGAGTTTAGCGTTGGAACGTAACCCGTTTGCACGTCTCTCGTCGCGATCTACAAGCTGTTGTTGTAACCCTCAAACGTCTCTATTCTCAAGTCCATGTCAGAGAGAGCCAAGTACAGGCCAGGCGCTACCGCAAAGTTCAGAGGCGTTTTGGCATAGGGCCTACTGTAGCGAGTCTTGAAACTGGTTGATCGATTGTTCCAGGTCGGGTTCCGAGTTCACGAGACTTTCTACCACGGTAACAAACTCGTTCTGCGCGTCTAACCGGTTCCAGGTGCCAACCATTGATCTCCATTATGCATTATTATGGAGATCAATGGCGCCAACATGCTGGTTTTGATTTGCGCTTGGGCTCCAAACAACGCGTAGACGTAAGCCCTGATCGATTAGTTGACGCGGGTCACACCTGTCAGTGAGCTTCGTCTGGCGCGGTGTAAAGTCTCAGCAGACAAGCATAACTGAGTCAGACTGCTCGCTTCAAGACACCGTGTAAGTGCTCGCGTGACCCGACCCTTTGGGCAGCTTGGCCCACCAAATCCCATGTAGGTGGCGCCTGCATACTTCTGTTGGACACGTGTAAGTCGTGAGCGTCGCAGTTTTAGCCTGGGACCGGTACGTAGTCAATGTTGCCTTTATCATCGTAGTAAAAAGCGGTGCCTAGCCCGTTACTCAAGGGGTCTCGCGTTTGTTTAAACGACTTGGTCGGGTGGACGTTAAACAGTCTACACGCGTCAACGAACTTGTGGTGATCGTTGGTCACGTTACCGGGTATAGGCATGACGCTGTCCAACAAGGTTTTTCGAACGGTGAAAGTTACACGTGAAAGTTAAACAAAGTCGATACGTACGGGTTAGGGTCGCTGACTATGTCGAAGCCTACCCCACACGCTGTAGTCGCGCAGTGGACCGCACAGTTAAACTGGTTTTGATAAATGTTAAGGGGTCATCCATTTTTGTCATCATTTTCCCGAAAGTACAAAGAGTACGCTGGGGAGGGGGTGAATTGGTTGCGTACGCTTTTAGAAACATGTAAAAAATGACGATTATCGTAGACTGGCCAACTATCACCCCCAACTATTGCATGTGTGCATAGAGTGCGCACGACTCTGATGGTGAGTGATACATCATTCATACAAGTTCGGGCAATGGCTATTTCTTAACCACTCGACGATTTTGCTGGTATCATATATAAAAAGTACATACACAAGTACCAGGCAAAATTCGCTAACATTGATGTCACAGCCACACGTGAAACAGTCTTGGAACACCCCGAAAGCTCCGCTACGCCGTGCGTGTTATGAGGTTTGGTACCCAGACACAAGTGTATTTTATAGTTTGTTTATGTACGCATTTTCCCTTGTGTGAAAAGGTGCCCTGCTAAATGCACAGTTTATGTGTGCGTTCGATTAGCTTCCCTGAATACACCAGTGTTATACCAAGGAATGCCACAAAATGAGCTGATCGAACGCTGCAGTGTATTCGCCAAGGCATTCTGGGAAAAAGGTCAAGTCCCCGCCGCATTCCATCATATCAATTCTTGACCAGTCCACCAGTGACGTCATTACACTCGGGCAGCCTCCAGAGACCCGCTCGCCAGCCGGGGTAGTGGTGGCTGACACTAGGTCAGGCACGAAGATCACGTGATGGCTAAACAAACGCTCTCGTGTAAGTTTGACTTACACGTGCAAGCTAATCGAACGCACCCAATATGTACATATACGTAACGATGCAAAAGATCATTGTGACTGTATACTTTTACCACTTGTTATTTAGCTTTTGTGAAGAGGAAAACAAATCAAATCAAAGGTACATTTGCTGACTGCTATTCTTGGACACCAAAAAATTGACACTTTTATTTAAAGAAAAAAGTACCCAGGCTCTCTCGGGCAATTTGTCCTTAATTATTACTTGCCCGAACAGAAAGAGGAATTTTCCCCGGGCAATCGGCCTCGGAAAACCGCGAGAGTCGAGGCCTGTCATGGACAGTGGTTTTCCTCCTGCCATTATTCTCTGGTCATCTGCTGCACTTTAACAGCTGCACATTGTGAAATAGAATGGGTCCTTGGGCACCAAAGAGAAATCATCTTTTTTGTTAATTCTTTTTGTGCTCTTTTAGAGGGGGAGGGAGCCAGGAAAAAGAGTACGCTTTGTACGCTTGTGAAAATGATGACAAGAATGGATGACCCCTAAAGGATCTGTGACCCAACGGTGGACAGCTTTGTCTGCGGTTACTCTTGGAAGCTTGTTCTCGTGCGTTAAGTTGGGGAACTCGGCAGAAAACCAGTTGTCTTTGTTGACAACGATAGCTAAGTGACTGAAGTTGGTTCCCATTCTTCTTTGTGGTTGTTTTTAAATATAAGGAGTTTTAACAAAGAGGAGAAGCGGTAGGGGTTGCTCTCGTTTGACTTTCTTCACTTTCTTTATAGGTAGGAGGTGGGTGTTTCTTTCGCGTTTAGAGTATTATTTTAACAGACTTACTAAAGCTTAAACGCACTCGCCAAGTTTTAGCGTAAGCTCTTTCATTGGGTCCTTTTTTAACTCGGTCGCCACTGCCTTGGCTTCTTCCTTTACTTGACGGTCAAATTCAGCCTTGCTCATTGTTTTAGCTTCTTCTAGTTTGGTACTCAATTTTGCCATGATTTTTTTATTTGAGTTTGTTAAACTTTTTGAGCTGGGACGTCACGAGCACAAATTCCTCGTAAGACACGTCACCATCTTCGATAGCGCGTATTTGAGAGAAACACTGATTCGGTCGTGTTTTTTAGTTTTTGCCGTTAATAGTTTAGAGGCTAGGGGAGCGCAGATAACTATGATGGCGGGGATGCCCACCGCTGCCGTCGATACTACAAATAGTACGACCCCTTGTTCCACGTAACTCACCGCGCATTTCCACCTCTTTAGCTTTCTGTAAGAGGCCTCTCGTTTGTCTCTCTCCCTCAAGATCTGATATTCAATCTCTTCGATCTTTTGAAGCCTGTAAATGTTCGTTTCGTTTTTGTAAGTGCCACCGCTGTTTAACTCCAGCGTAGGATAAAGGTACGCCATCTAGTTCTCACTCTTTTTATTATAAATTTATACGAGTCTAAAAACTTTTTCCCAAGTTTGAGGCAATCGTTAGATACATTTTGCCAAACAGAGACATGTCAGGTTTTATCTTTTAATACGTGTATCTCTAACCAACACACAACTCAAATCAATGTACAGTCCAACACAGATAAGACGAGCACTGTTAATACAAGGTCACATTTACAACAAGGACAATTTTAGGTCCCAGTTCTTGGTTTTCCATACAAAATTACAAGGTACTTTGTGAAGTCCCAAAGACCGTATTTTAACAATGTTTCACTGTAGTAATCACGTTTTTGACGCTTTATCTTCGAATCCGTCCAATGTAAAAGTCATCTTGATACAGCAGAAATACAACACTTACAGTCACTTTGATGGCTAACGTCGAAATGATTTAGGTGTGACTGCAAATGATATTGTATAAATCACTACTGCAATAGAAATTTTCGCTGCGGCACCATGACATTTTGTAAAACAATAACAAACGTGGCACTGAGTCACTGCAAATTGAATAGAACCAACTTATTAGTAACTCCTAACAATCAACCGACCTCGCTTAACAAAGGGAGCACTCGGTTGAATAAACACACAATAGACCTACGATATAATGACATAATGCAGTGTTTACCGCGGTACATTGTGGGTGAAAGGTGGGGATGTTGCAGGAACGCGTCGACATGACACGTTATGTGTAACGTATACTTGTGTGCGTGTGTGTCGACCTCACACGGAAAAAAATCCCGATTATCGTCCGAAATGGTCCATGTGAACTGCTGTGTTACATTGTCTTTATCAAGCACTCAACGAACGCCAGAGCTGTTTTTTTTCAACTTCCACGGACAGCAAAAGGCGACAGATTGGGATAAGTCCCGTTAGAATTAAGGCAATCAAAGCGAAGTCCAAGTGGACCGACCTTTGTATGCAGACAGTCTGCATTTAGTAGGCGGAGACAAAACTTACGATGTACCGGATGCAACGATTTTCCCGTGGACAAGTGAGTGGGAGGAGGTTGTTTCCCGGCAAAATGAACAAGCACTCTTCAGACATGATTTGGGAACTTCTTAAATGAAACTCTTTCTCATGATTTTTCTTGTAAAACAGAGGAGAACTACCTAACTTCTCATGGAAATCTTTGCCTAATTTTCCATTTCATCTGTGAACGCTGATGAAGTTAACTTAGCAAGGTTGGCATGCCAGCCCAAGCATGTAGAGGTGGAGACTATACTGCGCTCCCAGAGCTCAGGTTCTTGGAAAAGCGACGCGGTTGCGCGAGTTTTGGAGAGGTGGGCCCGATCGGCTACGGTGGAGCGATGAGTGAGGTTGGGAGAGATGCTCCAGAATTCTCCATTTACAGTACTACACTTTGCATTGACCTGATGTTTCAATGCAAACGTTGCTGAACAGCAGGTCTATTTTGTAGGTGCATGAGCTGGTCCTACGCTAGCCCCAGACTGGGGGCCAGTCTACTGGACTCTCAGTATCGAATCCTACGGATCAGAGAGTAGCTACCCCACACGTAGGGCTGTAGTGACTCTCTTTACAGTCTGTTCGCCAGATAATAGACAGCTTGTAAAAAAAGGTGGCGACAGATAAGAGACAGATTGTAAAAGAGAGCCACTACGTGTGGGACTAGGCATATTCCACGGTGTTTTTCATCTACATCCCCGAAGCTGACGTTGCGTACTCGATGTCGCTTCCTAGCAGAACAGATCTTGCCCAGGCAGAGCCCGAGGTGGCTCGGAAACTCTTTCGATCTGGAAAATACTTCAAGGAGAGTACGTCAGGAATGTGTCAAGGTACATGTAGGTCCACGATCGAGGAAACGTATGTAGATCAGATACATGCACACCCCTCTTGAAGCGCCCTTTGGGCTCGAAATTAGTTCAAAGAATAATCATTAGAAGTAAAAATGTAACTGCAGAAAACTGCACTCTAATAGAGCAGGTTTTGCAAAATTTGGGGACTTTCTCGTTTTTATCTATCGTTCTCATATTTCCAACAGACCGTACCGAGTATGTGCAGGCGTGTCAAACATAGTGTTGACCTCAGCACAAAAGACGTCCACAAAATGCAGGGTACGATGGCGTTGCGTGGACTTAGCCACGTACACACAATGTTTTTCCCCTCTCTAAAAAACAGTTTAAGAGGCATTTTGGGGTTAAGGTTATCCGTGGCAAAATGAAGAGGAACAGTCCAGGAAATCATCATCAAAAATCAAGCTCGAAGGTGTAATCCTAGTTGGAGAAAAAGGAGCATTTTCTTCAAGTTTCCTAAACCAGAGGAGAACAGTACTGTTGTATGTACAACTTAAAGGTAACTGTTTGTAGACTGCGTGGCTGAGTCGCATGTACGGTGTTGCAAGTACAAAGCTGTACGTACATGTACCTTGCCGACGCTGGCTCGCATGTGATTCTACATCCATGGTATAAGAAGTAGCTCCCACTTTTAGCGTCGATCTGCGCACTTCCGCGTTTGAAAGCAAGGCTGTATGTGTCAGTTTCAATTCTTAATACGATCAGACGATTGAAGGTAAGGAGTCAAGACACCAAATACATAAAGGTATGTTAAATTCAGACTTTTAAGGCTGCAAATTTTTGTGGAAGAGTCTTTCGGGGTGACTGTCACGTAAAATCAAAAGAAAAAATAACGGCAATTTACCGCGAACTAACTTACCTGCGATGGTCGTGTATCTTGTGCAGTGGGCGTGGTTTAAACTGAAGCAGCAGCACACCATTGATGTTCATTTATAAATGCAGATCAATGCATCACACAAACCGGATACTGCAAAACTCCGCGGGCGCGCGCGACGAGGTTCAATACAGAGAGCCTCGGTTTCGATATGCGCAGACGGCGCTCATGTGAAGGGTGCACCACTAAAATTCCCATAGACAGCAGTGATAAATCCCCATACTTCACAAATATTTAGAAACTACTCACAACTCTCGCAGGTGTTCAGGCTGCACAGAAAAATGATGTTCCATACGTCCTCTTTCATTTTCCTTTCAATTTTGGGGGGGTTGACCAATGAATTTTTGAGAAATTTTCACCAGAAACAGACCACCCTTTAAATGCAGAAAATGTCCCTGTCCAGAAAAGTAGCCATTTTGAAAAACCATCCCTCGGCAAAATGGCTCAAATAGTGCCACTTTCCTGATTGCATCCAAATTGCTCAGAATTGGAGTTTGATCGTGTCCTCAATCTATTATGTGGTGTTGTCAAGTCATTTATATGTGCAGTTGTCAATCCATTATGTGACGTTGTCAATCCATTATATGAAGTTCTAAAACCACTATGTGAAGTTGTCAATCCATTATGTGAAGTTCTCAAACCATTATGTGAAGTTCTCAATCTATTTCGTGTTGTTCATAATGCGTCGCGCGGGGCGCTACAGTAGTGAATCCATTATGTGTTGTCAGCGAATTACATGGTGTATTCAAAGCATTATAATACCGTTCCACTTGTGGAGCTACGGTATCCCCGTGTACGGGCCGTGGTAGTTTTCTTAGGGTACGGCCAAACCGTGGCCATGCAACACACAAGCACGCAGGACGAACGTTAGCTTCACAAAAACTGAACTAATGATAGGATCACTATCAATGAGACCGTCTTAAAGGATGATGCAAGATTTGATCATAAGGAAAAAGGTACATGTACATACAATCAGAGCTGTGCAGAAGCATGGCGCATTAGTCATGTTCATCATGTTAGCAACTTGTACATCTGCATTCTAAGTGTGAAACGAACAGTGACAATTTAAGGAGAAATATCACAATGTTGTTTACCTTACTACATGCTAGTAGACACATCGCTCACTACAGAGCAGCTACGTGGGTTATGTTACAACTTGATTTGATTTTTGTTCGTGTGACCGTGACATTAAGCTAAACTTATGAATAAATTGTTACTAATAGTATGGTTCCTGGCCCGTCACGTTCCTCGATCTTGTTATTTGCGAACGGTTCAACATAGAAACTAAATAGTGGCTTGAAAAGTAACCCCGGAAACATTTTAGTAGCTTGCAAGAGATTCAGCCCACGCTTTGTCAGCATTCGGCAGATTAATTAAGGGGGAGGGGTATGCAAGATGTAAGCAGATGTGGATACATTCAATAGATTTGGATTTCTTCAGAGGCAAACTTCGAAAAATAAGATTAAGCCCTCCTTCAAAAAAGCAAGTGCACTAAAACCGAGAAACAGATCTCGTCTTTCTTTCTTCTGCTTTACCATTACGTTAGATACACGTTTTGAAACTCCGGCTCTCTGCAATGCGAAACCTAATGGGCCTTCGGGCAAGTTATGTGTTCAGGTGTTGGCAAGTGAGCGGCTCTGCAGAGGATCGTTACGACTCCCTATTAACAAACAACATTGAAATCTATGAAAACTTGACAGCCTACACTTTCCAGGAAGCTCAATATGCACATACGTAGGTATCACCACCAGTGAATTCTCTCTCCATGCTGATCGCAAAACCCTAGAGTACATCAGCGAGCAGAGCCATCGTTCATGAAGTTGCATATGCTTTACTGTTTTTGAAAGTAGTAAAGTAGTAAAAGTAGCCTTGTTGACGCTGATGACAAATCTCATTTACAACAGCAACCTTCTTGGGATAATCCTGAAACCTTTTTAAAAATAAAGTCAACTGAATATCCCTTTAACTTTCTCGCACAGACAGGTTTCCTTGCTATTTGTTTTTTAATTTAAAGAGAAAACACCCTTTTCGAGACAAGTCTTAATTTAACACACCGACGTATAGAGGCGGCATGAATACTCACGACCTTTCCTCACGAACAAATGTACATACTAAAAGGATTTTAATCAACCTTATGGTTTCTTGTCTTTAATTTTGGTTGTTCCTTAAACATTATTTTGTAAATATGAGGTCATCACTGAAACATAGTATGAAATAATGTATTGCTGAAGTGTGCTTGTGCTGACTGTTAAATAACTGGCTAAAACACTAACTTCTCTTGGAGTAAATACATACGCAGCGGTTGATATGAGAAAAAATGTATGATTTATTAAGAGGATTTGGTTATAAAATACAATGCAATAAAATAAAATTAAAAGTGAAAATTGGTAATTTAAAATCTGTCTGTAGCCCCGAAATAATGGGACTATTCAGTATCCCCTCCCTGATATAATCTCCTCAGCGCGGCTACAGATACTGGACATTCACAGATTTTTTAGATACCGCAGGTTCCCCAAAAAGCTTTGCTTGTATAGAATAGCTGTCCACTGATATTGATCTTATCAAGGTGCAAAATGTTCACAAACGTTTTCCATTAAAATTCTGACAACAGATGTGCCACTCCAAAATCTTTAACATGAACTCGATGCTGCTTGCGTGCTGCATGTCCACGTTTTCGCCTTGCCCACAGAACTCGAAAACTACCACGGCACGTACAAGGGGACAGCTCCACAATGGTTGCGTTCGATTAGCTTTCCTGAATACACCAGTGTAACACCAAGGGAAGCCTCGAAATGAGGGTAATCGAACGCTGCAGTGCACTCGCCAAGGCATTCTGGGAAAAAGGTCAAGTCCCCGCCACGTTCCATAATGTACGTTACGTCCATGCACGAACAGTCCTTCCAGACGTCATTACACTCGGGAAGCCTCCAGAGACCCGCTCACCAGCCGGGGTCGTACCAGGGTAGGCACGAGGATCACGTGATGGCTAAACGAACGCTCTGTGTGAGTTTGACTTACACGTGTAAACTAATCGAACGCACCCAATGGTGTGTTGCTTATGCAGTGGAGCAATATTGACGCAGTTTGACTTTGCTGATGCGCAGTGTATTGCCGATGTGCGTGGTGCATACATATGTACATGTACATGTATATGATGCATCTGAGTGTTGCTGCTGTGGCCCAGAGTTAGTTAACACTCAGTCACAATTGGTGGTATATTTCCTCCAAAACGGACCCGCACCCTTAACCTTTGAGGTCGCTCTGCGGGTCTCATGTCTAGGGAAGAACCTTAGGTCGGGAAGATGGGAAGATTGACTCTGCCCAAAACAGTGCTAGATTTTGATCCAATCAACTTAGGCTGAGGGATGCCCGTCACAATAGGCACCTGGGGAATTTGCATATGTAGTGACTGTTTGGGTACGTAGAGCGCTGTAGACTGAAGGGTTTATAAGACACCTTCTTTCTTTTATTGGTTTAATATCCCAGTATTAATTGTCGATTGGTTTGAAGAGCATGGTTGGAGTAGGTCAAGGTAAATTACGGAACATGTGGTTGATTATGAAACTAAATAACTGACGGTTATAGTGTCGCTACAGAATTCACCATTATTTTAAATATCTTTGAATTCAGAACTATGGGCGTATAACACTATAATTGTAAATCAAATTTGCTGATAAAACAGTTCTGACATTAGCAGTACCAATGTGAACCGTTTGAATCTGCAATTGGATAGGGTGGGATTTTACAAAGATTGTTTCTTGGAATATTTTGATCAAAATTTGAATGGCCAATCTTATCTTGCATTTTCCCACATTCCTTCTTTCTCCTATAAAAACATACACACAGGTCATGTTCAAACCAATTTGTTGGGGCTACACAAATCACTGGCTGAAGACTTTACGAAGTTCTGCGCCTTTAACTCTGGGCCCCTACCTCTTTTGTACCAGTCAGACGTCGGTCAGTTCACCGCTCCAGGTCTCACACAAACCGATTCTGATATCAGGTGATGAATTATTGTCTTATCACCTTATCACATAAAAGAGATTATCACAATATATGTTGTTATTATTAAAAAATCGATCTGAAGTCATTACTTATAGTTTCAATAGTTAAGGGCTCGTGCAATGGGATTTTTCGAGCTTTAGTTTTTGAGGCCCATTTTCTTTAATAGTTTCATTTCCTGTCTTTGTCTAGCTATTTCTAATTTATTGTTACATGCTTATGATTGTTTGGTTTTTATCCTAAAACAAATTTCTTATGTCAGTGAATATAAAACATTGACATGTACCGGTATAGTTTTGATTTTATAGCGGGACAAAAAGTTGGCAGAATGGTTTTACTTTGCCGTATTTTTCATTCCTGTCAATTGGTTGGATGTTAACCATGGTTAACCCCGTTTTAATGTGTGTTTCTTGAAAGGAACTATGCTGCAGATTTTCAGGTCAACTCATTTCATGCATATTACTACATATTACAACTAATACAAAATACTTGTTTTCATTGGAAGTGAACAGATGATAGTAATTTGTTCAATTCAAAGAGAACACTTTAATCAACGTATGCGCGGAGGTGCGATATTGACGTCACACAAGGAACTTGTTGCCACAAGAGCAGTGCAAAACTCAAACTCAACTCATTCGTTCGTTCGTTCGTTCGTTCATTCATTCATTCATTCATTACATTACATTACATTACTTGTGTGTACTGTATGCTTTGTCTCATGAATATGGAAATCTTTATTAGCATAAAATCCAAAATGTCTACGTTTCTCCCTTTTACTGCTACAAAGGAGGTGGAAAGTCACTGCAACATGTAAATAAAGCTGTGCTTCATGCATTTGTCATGAAATCCTATTACATGCTTCATTCAAGTACATTTATGTAAAAGCCAGAAAGTAAACATTTTTGCACAAACTGCAATAAAGCACATCATTTTTAGTTTCATGCTCTTTTACAGAGAATCCTGGAATTTATTTTTAAGATTGACATGATTTGACTTTTGGAAGAACTCCACTTTGAAATAATTCTAAAGAATACACCATAAGCAGTTTAAACGTGTTAAGAACACAGGGAATGACTTAAAAAGGATAAAAACCAAAGTAGATCATAGTTTTAATTCATGCTTAATATAGGAATAACTTACATTGTAACACGGGCTACTTTCTTCTCTGTAGTTTCCTTAAATGAGAACTTGACAGATTTTTTTGAGGTAAATCCTTTTATGTAGTACAGCTGTCACGTGAGGGAAGTTTTGTTTCAACTTATTTAAATGGCAAACCTTGCCACATTTTTTGTGCTTAGTTTTCAGATCAATGTTGTGTTAAACAATGTTTCAAAAATAGCTCAATCTTGATGTATTCAATTGGCCACATCAAACTGTTTTCATTATCCACACACAGGACAGATCTGCCGGCGTATAATGTCATGGAGAATGGGGAATTCACGCACACCGTAGAGAATCTCTTGGATTTCCAAGAAGCTTTGAAGGATTTCATCTTCTTCTATAGTGGCTGTAGTTTTTCCTTTGATCAGGCTTTGCAGGCTGCTGGCGTACCGCTGAGAAACCAGGAGCAAAATTGTGCTGTGAGCCAGTACAAGGTAAGAAAATACATCGGAATATGACCGTTAAGCAGTTTGCTATGTGTTCCTTATTACTACACCACCCGTACATTGTGGTTGAGTCCACCAGAAACCCCCTGCATCTCAATCACAAGTCTTCAAGTTCAACTGGTCTTCAATGGGTTCAAATGAATGGCAAAAGTATTCCTTTGTAAGTTTTCACTCCTGTGCTTTGTAAGAGGACGAGTGCAGGACTCCATCGCAACACTGTTCCCTTGTCATTAATTGTGTCAATGTCTTCAAATTCTTGTTTGAATTCTCGCATTATCATTTTCCCAGACCAGTGTGAAGTGCCATCCCATTGGGCTGTTCAAATGCAACATGGTGGTATCATTGAGACCCATCCCACGTGATCTAGTGGAGACTGCAGTTAGAGTGACCCACCCTTTGATCAATTACCATGGTGCTCCTGTCCACATAGGCGATCCAGGTAAGTATTAGGCAGGAAGAAGCTCAGAGATGAAACCGTTTAAAGTGAGAGGATTTGTTTTGTTTTGGTATTTACTCCTTTTTTAAAACTTGAATGGGCTGGGCAAGCCCTGAATTTAAAAGGAACTCTATCACGAGAAACGAATTAACTTTTGCATAACCAAAATTCTGTCCGCATCCTATACCTTGTGTCTGTTGTGAAAAACAGACTCATCACCTCGCACACATTTCCAATATTGGTCCTGAAAATAACAGAACATCACTATAGCACATTTCCAAAGGTTGATAATTTGCCAACCTGTTTTCCGCACAGCTTCACTCCAAAAACAGAGATTCAAGAAAGTGCAAAGGAAAGGAAGCAAAATAGTCAAGCCATTTCCATTGGAATTCTGAGTGCAATCAACAAATCACATCGAGTAGTTAAACATGCGAAACAACTTGCCTTTAACTTACAGCTTTCATTGGGATAACAAACATCGATAGGCCTGAATATTGTGGTCCTATGAAATTCCATGACGACGACATTCCTGTTTTTTGGGCCTGTGGAACTACGGTAATCGAAGCCATCAAAACTGTCAGTGAGTCATTCCTGTCTGTCAAAAGTGTTTCAGTGATATTTTGATATTTAACACTCTTGGAGCAATTATATCTGTCAAACGGTTACCTGTCCGGAGCACCTATTTCGGTTAAGACCTCTTAAGAAGACTTTTTATAGAAGTGTTAAGAGATAGAGAAATCACTACCTTGAACTCAACCCTCCTATAAAAGAGCCATTTTATCGTACAAACGATGCTAAAGCAAATTGTTGAAATTTTTAAGGTTTTAACCATAATTTGATATAAGTGACTGGTTTTTATGCGGTTCTAGTGCATAGATTTTCCGTCATTACAAAGGCAATGGAGTAGAGGGAGCATTGTCCCTTGTTGACAAAAGACAAAGATTCCTACTCCTCAAGTGAAATCGCCTGGGACTGACTTTTTTCCCGATTTGTTTGTCTTGATACAGAACCATCCCTTGCTTTCACACATCATGAGAATGACAGTGTCTACATCTCAGACACACCTGTCCAAGGCCAAGATGACTCCCCGGCTGACATCAAAGTGATCACACTCTGTGAAAAGCCCTTCTGGGCCAGTGTGACATCTGAAGCCGTCATGAGAAAAATCAAACAGCTAGAGGGTTTAATAGCTGAAAATTTGGGTGAGTGAATTAAACAAACATTGAACACTATTCATTTTCATCAAAATTGTTTTAAGCAAGTTAAGTTTTAGCTTAATTCATTTGGAATGACCATTCAGACCATAAGTTCGCAGTCGCTAGGCTTTTCATTGAGAATGACTGTTATGTTTGTAACAGGTTCAAATCTGCCCGGCGAAACAGGTAAGCAAAGTAAAATAACACAAGCCAGAATTCAACGTTCAAACCTCCACAGTTGTGAAAGTATGAATATTCATCATCACACTTTAATGTTAAAGGAACCAGGAAATAGAAATATTTCTATAAATTTTACTAAAAACCCTTGAAATTGCATCTTTAGGTTTCAATTAACCTCATTTAACATTTCTGTTTTGCAATTTTAACCTGTGTTTTGATACTTTTTGGTTTTATGCTAATGCATATCTGCATATTCAGGAGCAGAACTATGATGTCATCCAAGGCACTGAATCTCAATGTTGCATTGATCTGTGCACAGAAAATTTCTAGATTTCTTTTAAAAACTCCTATGGCAGATTTCATTTTCTTTGTCATTTTATTGATGTGTAAGTATATGGCAATAATCCAGCAAAAGTCCTTTTCACAGAAATGATCAAAATTTGCACATGAAGACGTGCAACCTGAAAGGCTAGTGTCAATTTTCAATGTTTAAAAAAGTGCACAGTTCAGTTCACGTAACTCAAAAAGTTTTCAAACAGTCTTCATACATTGAAGTTGAATACAGAGATACACAAAAAGTGATTCTAAGAAAAATTCATTTCCTGGATCCTTTAAAATCATGATGTGTAATGATAAAATAGGGTTGGGCAATTTATTAAATGAAAATTGGGTGCCTTTTTTAGTCCTACCTTTGAGTATTTTGTTCGCAGTTTAGTTTCTGAGAACCAGCTCGAGTACTGACTTTGATTTTAGAGTGAAACTTGAATTTCAATTTCAATCACTGCATGATGAAACGATGCAGGTAACAGGCAAATCGACAACCTTGTTGTCCCTGACGATCTCTTGAAGTCAGTCCTGGCCCTATCCCATGCCTCATCTGTTGCTGTGACAACAGGCTTCCCTTGCTTCCTGAATAACAAGAACCCCTATGGGAATGATGGACCTCCAGGTGCCATTGCTATAGCAATGATGCTGCAGATACTGGGCAAGGAGGTAGACTTGGTTGTGGACAATGCACTGTATGGACCACTGACCATGGTATTGGAAGCAATGGTGGAGAAAAGTAGGTGACATATAAAGGGTATGGTTAACATGTTTTGCATAAAATTGCAGTGGAGGAAGGATTTTTGAATGTACCACTAATGGAGGCATTAGTGCATGGAGGAATTTACAGAGGGTGTGGAGGTATAGCAGTTGATAAACGGTGCAGTAGGAAGTTATTTCTGCCCACTGTATCCGGAGCATTGAAGGAAGAGGGATATTCAAACCACGATTTTGTTTTTCACGGTAAACCTTGCTGAAATTTATCACACAGAGGAAAAGACATTTGACTTGACCTTCCTCTTTTTTCCTTCAGACGTTTTGGTGAGGCCAATATCTGTGGTTCAGTTCCCACCAGAAGGGGAGGAAGACAGCCTAGAGACAGCCAAGAAGTTCTTGCTGAATGATGGTAGCAACACCCCACGCTATGACCACCTGCTTGCCATTGAGAGGTCAGGAAAGGCTGAGGATGGAGGGTACTATACCATGAAGGCCATTGATGTAGGTCGCCTCGTTGGTGGCATTGATTGGCTCTTCCTGGCAGCTGCTGATCTACCAAAAGTTCATACATCAGGTATGTGCTTCACTGGATAAAAGACTGCGATTTCCTACAGTGCAATTAGTTCCGCAAGGCTGCAGACTTTGATATTAACATGAACAGAAAGTCAATATGAATTTGTCTTTAATAACTATTTCTCACACAAAAAAAAAAAACACACTGGGAAGAATACTTCAACTTCAGCATACATTAGTGTCAATCCAGGTTTCTCTGTGATATGCAGGCTGGGCATTTCAATTTTTAACAGTGCAAGGGTGTAAATGTTGGTATAGGTCTTTGCAGGCTACTTTGGGCCAAATGACTTATGTGCAAGCATATCTACCACAAGCCTTCTTTTCTCATCCTCAGGTATTGGAGACGGTGGCAATGAGCTCCGCATGGGCAAAGTTAGAGATATGGTTCACCTTGACATCCCGCAAGGCCCAACAATCACGTGCTCTGTTGCCTCTGACTTCCTGCTAACTGCTGGGGTATCTAACTGGGGAGGCTATGCAGTCGCAGTGGGCTTGTACCTGGTCAGCGTCTGCCCCATCCATGAGAGGTACAAGAGAAGGGCAGTTGGGTTTCCACCAAGTGATGAAGATCGTCAACGGTTTAGAAGTGAGCTGCCAAGTGTTGACAGAGTAGGTGTCCTCCTGTGTTAAGTCCTCCATGAAGTATGTGATTGCTTTACATTTTAGCATAAATGCTTCTGTCTTGAAACAAGACTTACTTCTGTTGCTTTGGGTAAAAAAAGTGGTCAGTTTTACTCTCTGTTGTCAACAGTTTTCCTTGGCACCATCCTGTACAGAGCAATTTTTTCAAGGATGTTCCACTGCAATTACCAGGTGTGAAACACCTGTTCAAAATGGATGGGTTTACAGAGAATAAAGAACTGTTTTGGATATCTGCACAAGCACTTTGTGATTGAATTGTAGGAGAGAGAGATGCTTGGCATCCTGATCAGCCACGAGTTCTTTGACATGACTGGAACGGACGTGTTGCACGTTGATGGCCTGTCCTTTGAAGATGTTCATGCCAAGAAGATTGAGCAACTCCTCAGCGTCATTACGGAAGAGTAGGATAGAGAATTTGAAATCAAAGATACTGGTAATGTGCATTGTAATGCCAATAATTACAAAAATTAGTGTGACTTTTAAAGGAACTTAGCATGTGAAGATGGCGGAAATGCTTTGTGTAAAAAGTATTATACAGTTTACATCTTTTGATAAGGGTGCTTATGCATCTAATGCTGCCAAGATGGAGAAATAGATGTGGTTTGGGGCCTTATTGTGAGCTCTCATACATGGATTTGAGTCAAAACAAGCTCCCTCATTCCTAACACATCTACTTGGGGCAATAGTGGTACATATATTACCCATACCAAGTTTAGCCAACCGCTCTTACATTCATTATCCATCTTGAAGCATCCACGCCCCTATATCGGTAATTTAGGCAGTGTTGTATTCGAGTCCATCACAATACCCTTCACAAGGCCTCTTATAAGTAACAGGTTGACTAATGACAAAAGAATGCTTTCCTCACAATTCATTGGAATACTTTCAAACAGAATGACTGGTGATGGACTTACAAGGACTTGTGATGGACTTGAATACAACACCGAATGTAGTTTTCCATAGCTTCAACCAACTGAAGCATGACAAGCATATTTGGAAAGAGACAGATATAACTAAATGCCATCTTCATAACAGTGAATGTTCTGGAGATACTTGTTGACTAAATGTCAACAGGTTTTGGTACGTGGAAAGTAAAGCAAGACTTTGTTCAGTTCAAATATGCATGATACGACTTGTTGATAGTTTGTATCAGGTTATCATTTTTTGTTACCTTCAACCAAACAATTTCAGTGCAACATTGTCTTCCTGCATGGTAATTGATAACAGTGGGAAAAAAGAGAGTTTACTGTTATGTCTGAGAACTTGATGAAAAACTAACGTACAACACTAATTTTAAAACAAATTTAAGATTGCTTGGATAGCACAACTCAGGTCAATATTTTTTTCTCTCAGTTTTTTTCTTTTCAAGGCATAGGAAGAACCATAGACTCTTTCTGATACAAGACAAAACCACTAGCTGAAAACAAAGTCACCCAAGCATCATTACTTGTGATTTCTATTTTGGAAGTTCCAGACAATAGTTTTGTTCTTTATTCCTCAAGAAAATGTTACAATAATGCACGCATACTCTACAAGAAGGAAAACATTCATACCTCCATAAACGCATGGTAATATTTTTTTGTACAAAATTTTCAGCGTACACTGATCACATTGCTGGAATGGATGATGGTTACTTTCAAAACGTGAGCGTTACAATCATGAAAATACATACATCTTGGTGATACAGAGGACTAAATCTGATAGTTGCTTTTGCCTGCCGACTGCACAAGCAGCGAGGAAATAGATTTTCAGCAGTCAATGTAGAAACAGAAGCTGTAACAATAAGACTGGAAAATAACAATCCTTTGTGACAGTCCACATGGTTTAAAAGTAACAAGATCGTGATATGTCAAGCTTCAAATGATAACTTAATTTCAAATTAACTTTAAAAGTTTACAGACCCTCTTCTTAGACAAACAAAATTATTTCTTTTAAAAACATCTTTAGAAATAAAAAGACACAATCATACACAATTGCCATGGTTTTATTTGCATTTAAGAGTGGTGACATAGTTAAGTGATGTGCCAGAGCCAGCATCAGTGCCTAAGGAGGTAACACTCATGTGGAATTGATAAAAAGGTGAATGTGGCGGGTTTGTGTTACATTCCCTCTAAACTCACAAGTACAAAATAATGCTAAAAACAAACTCATGATCCATGACTTCCCAAGGTAACCGAGGACTGAGTGAGTCCACCGTGAGAATTAAACTGCAGAATATTTTTAGAAGAATGGTAATGTGGTTCACCTTTGGAATGAAAGAGGCACTTTATCAGTTGTTTTACCATGTTTTGTGGTCTGCTGACTCCCATTGCCAATAATGGGCAATGCAGTGGGATCTGACGAAAGCTTGCTAGAATGATACTGTGCGCAAATGACAGCTTCAACTGAGTGTGGTCCACAAACTAAGCATTCTAACTCAAGCAGACATGACACTTGATCCAAGAAAGCTGCTGCTTAGGGATCTCGGGGGAAATGGCATTTTTGGTTCCTCTCAAAGAAAGGAGGGTTTACATAGATAACAAAATATTGTTCCAAAAAGAGACACCCATCGGCGGGATGGCAAGTCTTGACAAACATCTGAATGAAGTGTACATAAGCACAAACCAGCAAACAGCTGTTTTTTGGACACTGTGCATTATTAGATATTTTGGCCAATCATCTTCAACCAAGTAAGTTTTCTTTGCTCAGTAAATGAAGTGTCACTGTGCCTGTGCTAGATAATGCACTCTATAGTCTACTTTTAGCAGTTTAAAAATCTACTTGCCCTTTATTGGAACTTACAACTTTTACAAGTCATCCCTAAATGTGGTGCACTTGGATTTTCCTGCTGACTTCTCAGGTTTTCTTGCCCAACTTCTTTGGACTGTATAAAAATTTGGGTTGCACCGATTTTGTTACAACTTGTTCCCTTTGGGGAAAAACTATGACTCGGGCAAGGTGCTGGAGGGAAAACCGACAGTGTGCTGGGGGAACATGTCAAATTAGGTGCCATATTATGCTGCGTGACCACACTGGGTGACGACTTGAAATATCTGTGAACGTGAAGCAATTTCTACCAGCTGCTACGCCTGCTGGCTATAGTTTTAACACTGACACACCACAGCCAGATGTATAGCCGTGTGTCCAAATCAAGCACTTTTGGCTATGACCTTGGCTACAGTTTGAGTTTTTTGCACCACTGCGACCATCCATAGCCAATGACAAGTGATTTGGACACTTCCCAGCTGCATAAGAGATTACATGCACTTTTTTTGCAGTTTGTAAGCAATAGTTTGACTGCTGCCAAATTGGTGTACTACTGAAGAATTAAACCCTTGTAAAGTGTTAACACAGAATCTTTGCACAAAGTACACAAACTAAACAAACACAAAAAAGAACAGGCTGCAGGACAACAAAACTACCTTTTCCATGAAATTGATCAGATTTGTTGCTGAATCAAGAAAAGGCTGTGAACTGTTATCAATAGTTTTTGTTATTTGGAAAACAATTCCTGTTCAGTCTGATTAGGGAAAAAGAAGTGGTTGGAAGTGTTAATTAATGCAGGCCACTGTTAATGCTTCAAAGTCAAATTGTACCAGAGTTGGGGATTGTATGTATGATGTGAAGAAGTCTGTATCAGCCAACAACTGCTGGCAAGCTCGGTGGTTGAGAGGTAGGGAGCATTATTTTTCAGTAAAGCCTGTAGTATACATATCGATGTAAAGAGACAAACAGCATCACCAAACAGTCCCCGATGACGTATAAACATGGAACCGTTTTAATTCATAAGTTTGATCATGTTAAACTTTCCTGCCTATCTGAATCTAGCTGTCACAAAGTAGGTAGACACAAACATGTATACTGGCATGACTGATGCATAACGATGTCTCTCTCACTTGAGAACCAAATGTTTGGCCTATTTTCTCCTTGTAACTAAAAACTGAGCCCCTAGTTGTCACAGCAATTAGCCATTAATGAAACGCATCAATCTTGAGCATTAGTTTGCTTTCAAGAAGTGATGTAACAACCCAAAAAAGGGAAACCATGCGAAATCTTTTTTGAGTTTCAGACACCATTTTGTTTAAGTTTCGAGTCAAATGACATCACACCCACTGTCCCTTCCAACACTGTTCTTGCTTGTGACGCTGTCAGCAATTATCACAATGTGGAAACTAGACTGACAGCCCGCTAAGATTTTCCAGTCTTTGTCTGATCTCCTTCAGTTAAAAACCCCAGAAATGAACAGATTTTTAAATGCACAGAAATAAAACATAACTGCAGAAATTAAGACAAATGAAACACTATTTTCACCTGAAATGTACATGTATTTACATTAAAATTTCCACAACTGGTTAATCACTTTTGCAACAAAGCTTGTGTCAGGATTCCTTCACTGAGCATCGACTGAAATGAACAACCCGTATTTATATGGACAATCCTTGATTGACCCATCAATTTATGTCAGTATTAGATTCATAACATTCTGGGCAGTGTTTGTTTTGACTGCACGCACTATCAGGTGCATAGATCATGGGTGCTTTTGTTGGACGCCATGTTATTCACTTTTAGCTCACATACACTGGTTTATGAACAACCTGCCCCATTCAATATGGCAACTTAAAAAACAGCCCAATTTTTAAACTCAGTTGTTCAAGACCGTGTTCTTGCCAAGAGAAGTGGGAAAATTGATTTTACCCCTTTGATCTTCAAAATGCTTCATTTTAAGTACAAAAAAGTGAAAAGGGATCCATGTTTATTTCCAGTTTCTAGGTCACAATACTGTATATTTTCTCACATGTTGGATCACAAAGATTATTTCAGTTACAAAATTAAATCAGGCTAAATTTACCAGCCTTAAAACCTGTCTACCTGAAATCTGACAATGGCCCATAGTTTTTATACACCTCAGAGAAATTTAGTAACAAAGGTGTTACCAATATGTTACATCAACAGGGCATAGTCTATGACTTCCAAAGCTTACTCAATATTGGTCTTCAAAATCAAAGTTACCTACATCTGCTCAGTTTTGAGGGAAGTCGCATATGGTATCTTACACAGCCTAGTGGGCACGACGACTCATGAGTTCCCCTCAAATCCAGCATTTGGACGGTAAACATTATTTTTTGGTTTGGTTTTGCAAAATGTATAGGAAGACTCCACTCCTGCAGTGGAAGACTTGCCCAACTTTTGATAGCAGGAAATGTACCAATCATTTTGCTGTTGTTTTGGGCATTGTGTCCAGTGGCAATCTAAATGCTACCTTATCCCTGAAATAAACTGCTTTATGCCATACACATTGAAAAATATTTACTGCATTACTGCAACCCACTGAGCCAGTCATTTACCAAGCTGCTTTTAGGATGAAGTACTACCCAAGTTACAGGTTTTGTTGCAGGGTGGACTTCACCTCCAACAAAACCACTCAATGTGTATGAAAACTAGGGGGAGGGTGTGATAAGGGGTTGGTATCAACCCCTTGTAACAAAAAGACAGTGCTGCAACCAAGAGGTAGCAAAGGCTCCAACTGCCAACGGTCACGGCAAGGGCCCACATACACTATCTGATTGGAAAGCTATTTGAATGCTGCCACCACGAGTTGGCATAGGCTTCAACTGACCCGAAGGGCACATGCCATAACACATCATGTAGAATGTCAAATGGGTTGTGACAACTGACCTTGTTTCATCAGATTATTTTAAACCACAACACAGAACCATTAAGAGAAGATAGGTCATGAAAGCATTGTTAAGTCCGAAAAATTCCCAGCTCAATTAAAACTCCTCAGCTGGCTGATTTGCGCCCTTACAATGTCGTTCCAATGTTGACAAAAGCAAAAGACAGTATCTTTCTGACACAGTAGACTATAAATCTATATGAAAAGTAAAACACCCTTTCGCTGAAAAATGATGATGAATTCAACATTGCCAGTTTAAAGAGAGAGAATTTTGAAGCCCGATTTGGGAGGCACAGAGATATACATGTACGGTGTAAGTTTTATTGTACAAAAGTCAGTTGGCACACATGTTTATCAGGATTCACATTCACCCAAAACCTTTTGAAAAGGAACCATGGTATTATATACAGAGGGACAATGGAACTCAAAGATCCGTCATGAAAAACACAGGAATTATTAAATAGAGCTTTGTTGTCTGAAATCTTGTTTGGCATTTCAAGGTACAAAGACACACATCCACTGATACATTTTGACAGTTCGACATTAGGAACTTGAGACTGCTTCACATTAAAAACTAAGCATTCCATTTGTTTACAGTGCCAGCTTCCTCACAATACCGGTACATTATTGTTCATTAAACAAAGCACCAATGAGACACACTTTTACCACTGAATTTCAGATTCCGCATATTAAAAACATTGTAGTTAATATCAATTGATCATGATAAACAGGATTTGAGATTTAAACGCCAGTAAAGGAACCAAGAAAACTTCCACATAAGGCCGCCAGAGTCTTAAGATTTGAAAAATGACCGATTCTTCTGTATTCAAAAGTACACACGATTATGATGATGTCTGTGGTAACTAGACCTGTCAAATGGAAAGACAAATGTGCATGCAGGGTGCTCAAAGATAGGCAAGCACATCAAAGCATTAATAAACACCATTCACAACAAAGCTGAGACCCAACAACAGAAACAAAAGGTAGTTTGTTAACCCCCCATATGGTTTTATACTTCATCAAGAAATGTACATCATTTGTCAATCTTGTACTGACATCTGGCGACCTTGCTCCAAATTTTCTGTTTCCTCTTCTAATGACAACATTCCACTTCACAAAGAAGAGCAACCCAGCAGGGAAATGTCTAGAGAACATAGCTGATCCTGCAGAACACATCCATCATCACTAGCTATCTGGCCACAACTGACATGGGCTGTCTACTTTGATTTGCTGCATTCATGCACTGAAAAATGCTCAAAGGTCAAACTGGTTCCAGAAGGATCACTTGATACTGGCTGTAGAACTTGGCTTCATTCAGAAGCTGCACTGAGTAACAGGGATGCATGTGGGTATACTGCATAACACCTCCTACACTGTTGACTAATCTCTTGATTGTGTGAATTATCAAAATTTGTCACAAAATGTGACTGACGAGTCTGCAATGATGGGACTCCTTAAGGAGTTACATCTATGGTAGTCACACTCATGCTTACGATCCAAAGTATATCAGTGCGACTTGTACGTGTGCTGGCCAGGCAAAATTTGCCAAATTCAGCAGAGAATTTTCTGGAGAGAGCACAAGTCTTATTTGTTTTACACAGATGATGATCATGGTTACGACCATGAAAATTACATGTAGTGTTTGAAGTCAATGCAACACCAGAGAGCTAATGACGACAATCTAGAATGACACAAAGACACAGCTGTGGATTCAACAAACTGGCTCATAATTTTTCTAACACTGTATTGCATGAGATGTATGATTTGTCTTAAGAAGACTTTAACTATTTACATTTTTTTAAGGCCTAAACACAGCCATACTCATACCACACCGAGGACTTCTTCTTTGCGCCTTTGTTCTCTCCATTCTGACCTTCTTCTTGCCCTGGGCCCTGCTCAGTTTTTGTTGGCGTCCCCGTCTTGGCTTTGGCTGGCTCTGAAACCGATCGATCCCTGGTCTCCTCTTTATCGAAGGATGGTATGGCCCAGCCCAGGGAAGCGCTATTGGAATTACTGTTGGAATTGGGCGAGACCACTGCTGTGGGGGGTTTGTTCGTTTTGACTTCTGTGGAGCGGGAGCTGCTGGATTGGTATCTAGAGTCTGAGGTGCTGGTGATGGGCTTGCCTGCTCGCCCATGGTGCTCGGGGGTGTACTCCTTTTTGGAACCCTCTCGCGACAAGGTGGCCGGGGAACTCTCAGTGGCATACTGGGCCTTGGGCTTGTGAATTTTGTGGGAGCTGGTGCTCCTCGGAGGGGGCAAGGGCGAAGGTTCGGCTGCAGTTTCCGTTCTACCTTGGAAGGGTCTGGCTGAATACACAGGTGAGGCGAGGGGCGCTCCTTTACTATTGGCTGTTGTGAGTGGAGTGGGTGGAGACTGGCCGTACTCCTGAGCCAACGCCACCAGTTTGGGGGGTTCAGGCATGCTGTATCGGTGTTGCCTACTGCGTTCAGAGCCTACTGGCTGAGCGTGCCTTCTTTCTAATGCTGGGGGCGGGGCACTTTTCATGTCACCAGTTTGTCGCATGGGCGTGATCACGTCCTCTGTTTCCCTCTTGTCAGGCGGAGATGAGGGGACTGCATCGGGCAATGGCACTTTAACACCCTCCTCACCGTTAGCATTCCTGTTGTACTGTGGACAGAGAAAACAATGGCTTGCTTTGTTTGGAGGCTTGCTATTCCAGGATGGTTTTACTTCTAAGGACCAGCACGGCAAACAGCATGCAACACCAAGGGTTCCAAGCAGAGTGTGCACACAGTACACCAAGCAAGAAAACTGTTCAATTTTACTGGTACAATGCTGGTAGGTCCTTACAAAAATCCTATGACCTAGTTAGGCAACATGTTAAAGACTGTTCACCCAAATACACCTCGTAAAATGAGGTGAAAGAAGCTTTCAGCCTTTTACGGTCAGGATCATTTTTTTTCTTCTTTTGAAGGGCCTCATGGCACTGTACCACTGATTTTGCCTACAGGTATCTACTCTTATTGACAACTTGACTGACTGTTAATCAATAATCAAAACGCTACTGAAACACTTTAAACAATCACAATATCTGAATTCACGAGCACATCACAGCAGTTACGTAAACAAAGATACTGATCACCACTAGCATAACCATTCCTTGCTCCATGGCATAAATACTGGGAATACCTAGAGGTGCCAACCACTTCTTTCAGGACTGTACCAACTCCACCCCCCTCCCAGTTTGGATACTGACGAAAGATGAGCGTTGTCATGTACTTCTCTGATAAAACACTGCTAAATCTGTTTGTATAATGCAAATGTTTAACAATGGAACAAAGAGCTACCCCTAACAGTCTTGAATCCTCCAACTTCAAGCTTGTTTTCCCACACACCCAAGGAAGTTAGAATTAACAACAGACTTAACTTTCATCGGTTGCAACTATGATATGCAACACAAGTAACTTTGCCAATCAACTTTGGAACCACATCCCAACTTTTCTATACATTTGACCATGCAAATGCACTGACCGTGTTTCCTTAAAATGCGTCTCTTGCAAGGTTTTCCCAAAAGCCAATAGAATTCTCTAAGCAAACCTAGAATGCAAGCCTGAGCAGCAACCAAGCCTCAAGTGCAAAGGGAAAGCATAGGCAGACTGTTAAGAAAAAGTAATTAAGAGGGAGCGGGATGTGATCAAAATGAAGGATTTGAGGCTGATGATGGCAATGACTTAATAATGAAATGGAGAAAGGCATGTTCCTGCTCTCTGAACTATAAAGAAACCTGATTTCACTTGTTTGAAATGTTCCCAATATGCCCCATTTCAATTTGAAAGTCCTCTCATAAAAGGTATACTTTTTGCTCCGCATCGCTAGTAAAGATGCAATTTACTGTACAGAGAAGTCTGATCTCTACTCATAGCTATCATGATATATGATCTGCTCTGACCGCTATCTTAAATGTTTCCAAAACCTTTCAAACTGAAAAAATGCCAGATTTCTATTTTTTGTACAGATGAATGACCTCCTCCATTTGTTCAGTTCAGCAGGAACCCTTCTAAGAAAACTACATGCAAATTAGTAGCAATGAAAAGCAAGCTTGCAATAATTAACGATGCCAATAAGTATGCAATGGAAAAAAGAACGAATGGCTCTAATGTGCTATTTATAGAAGCAATGGAAGTACATATACTTAACAGGGACAATGAACGGAAAACTACAGAAGTCTTTAGACAAGCACTATGACTACAAACCACTACAGTAGAAATTACTGACTTGAAATTGTCATGTTCTTCCACACATCTATAGACAGATAACCTACAAATTCCTACTAACTGTTGTATTTAAATGATAAAAATGGAAAATTTAAGGCCATCATTCCCCGACAAAATTTGCTGACTTTAAAAGAAAACTTCTTTTCAAAACTGTATCACTACAGCTTGGAAAAGTAGCTAGTCATGAAAGCATGGAAAACGTGGCTGCCAAACTCAGGCTGTAAACCTTTTGGTAATTTTTCAGCAATATCTGTTTTTTAAGTTTACAGAATGTATCATTTTGAAAGGGTACATAAATCATCCATTTGTAGCTGAAATTTAGGACTTTTGTGAGACAAAATTAATGTCAAGCAAAATCACTTCCTCCAGGTTTGTCTCCAAGGTTTTCGGAGCTGGAGGTCCAAATACACCCCAAAAAAAATGGAGATGAAAAATAGTCACAAAGTGCAATGCAAGCTATGAAACACACAGAAACAACACATGGTGCACAAGATATCAGAACACATCACAGTGCATAGACAGAGATTTATTGCTGCTTCAAACAACACAGTCTGGTGCCAAATCACTGACAGACATCTACGTGTAACTACACATCTACCAAAGCCTACTACACATGTACATGCATCCACAAGGGCAACAGTGCAGACATGGTATCTGGTAAGTGCAATATGCTCAATTCAATGGGATACAATTAATGGGATACAATTGATGGGATACAATTGATTTACCAAAATAACCCTTTGTAATCTAATTCCAAATGCTGATGGTCGGTTGCTTTAGAATTCCATAGGAAGGTTTTCCTTCAGCATGAATTTGGCTGCTTACATGACAAAAATCAGTGGACTTGGGTGACTTTGATCACATGCTCTTGCAGTTCTAACTTTTGGTGTTTTTATTAAAATGTACACACCTATTTACAACGTTTTAAATCAAATTACTCAAGTTGAAAATGGAGTTATCATATAAATATATTACGATCACAAACATTATATACAGAGTCAAAGAGAACTGATATCCATGGAGGTGCAGTGGATCTTGTGTTGACTGTAAACATGAACTCAAAAGTATATGTCAATTTTTGTGCGACAACAAATTATTATAAGTTGAAATGTATTCAACTTTTCCCATTTAAAAGCAGGAAAATTGGCTGTGACATCGTAAATTGATGCTCACGTTCACTTTCAAGTAGACTGTGGACTGTCCTTACGTGTAGAGTTCTAGAGTGAAGCATATTCATGAAGGTGACATCACAATTCACAGCTGTAAAATCTGAAACACTTTTACATGAAGTAGGAGGCCAGTTTCCACACTTCAAATGGTAACAAAATGCATTTTTCAAACAGTTTCAGTGGCATTCGTTACAAAAGTTCCCATTTTACACATTAAATACAGTTAAGAAATCAAATTACACTTCTGCACGTTCAGCTGTTTCTACAACTCTCAGTGGTTGGCACAATCTTGAATGTCGCAATAACATTTTTACATTTTTTTCTGATAGTTAATTAAAAAGCTGACTAAAACATTTTTTGGGTCTTTTGGGGGATAGGTAGTGGATGGGTGCTGCACCCAAGTACGGTAGTCGATACATGTATCCATGCATACATGTCCTTGCAGGTGACTATGAACTTGGTTCAACATCACCCATGAAGGAAGCACAAAAACTCTGAGCTAGGCACAAAAGTTTGCTATGCAAGGGAATTATTTGCTTTGAAACATTATATTATGTTATGTACATATCTTGTGAATGATGATCAGCATATTCTACTCAGCAAATCTGCCAATGTTTCTGCTAAGCAGGTCTGTGAACGAGGCCCCTGTCAGATAAGAGAACAGAGACAGCTCCACAGGTGGAAAAACCCCAAGACACCAAGCACAGGCTCCCAATGTTCTTAATGTTCCCAGCAAAATGGACAGATATCGGCTTGAGGGTGAGCTGAAGTTTGAAAAGTGACCCCAAAAGTCAAGGGCAGGAGCAAAAAAAGTGCTAAAGACTACACAACATGTTACTGTTTTTCTAACATAAACAGGTAAGCCTGTGACAGACTTACTCATCCCTTTTTTAGCAGTTCTTTCCTAAGTTATCTTTACCCAATTTTCTTTACATTATGAAAACAGTTTACCTTATTTCATAAAGAGAAGTCAGAACAAGACTGAGCAGGTATTTCTGCTACTTACAACTGCCACATCCCCATCATAGCTAATGCCCATACTTGGGAAAAATCACGAATAAACCGTGCACATAACGTAGTCAAATCCTACATTACATGTACACATGGTTTCTAAATGTACATTTATCACAACATAAAATCAGAAAGTAGTGTCAATACCAAATATTGCACCTCAATTCCTGCAACTTAAAATGCTCAACCATTCTTAAAAACTCATTTAAAACTTGATATTTCATTTACAAGATGTTAAAATTATTTAAAATTGGTCAGTTTTGGGGTGGCATTGCCGCAACCTCTACCCCAGGGACCAAGGACTTTCAAGGTTTCTACGGTCAGAATGATGCAACAAGATGGTGCATGATGGGATTGGATGATGTAACATGGTAGCGGGGACAATGAGACATTATGTAATCAGAGACGCACAGTAAGTGAAGTAAAGTGTCCAAGCAGGTTTCCAGGCAGGTACAGTGCAGCTGTACAGTAGAATAACCTTTGAACGTTTCCACTAAATCGTTGGTACCCTGGACTAAGTGTTATTTCTCTTCTCCGAATACCACGCTACCGTTCCTTCATGCAATGCAGCATGCGGTCACATTGGATGGCATGTGCACATGCCTGGTGCCTTACCGGTATTGCCTGAGCCAGGTTGGTCGTACAAACACAGCAGCAGAATTGCGACTGTACTCTCCGGAACCACACTAATGCAGTGATGGCTGTCGGAAACTGCTGCTAATACAGGGGGGTCATGTACAATGTACACTCATGGTAACACAAGGGTAAATACAGCACAGTGCACATCACAAGCGCAAGACAATACTGCTGCCTTTTATATGAGGGTACTGACTGCCATTAGGGGAGGCAAATGCAAGAAGCTTGAGGGAAACACTTTTCAAGCCAGAGGGAAACAAGGCTGGGGCGGGCAAAGTTTCACACCAATTTAATTAATTCACATCATGCTGCCCATGTGTACAAACACCAGCATGCAAACACATACAGCATGGCACAAGGGGAGAAAAACAGGCAAGTAGACACACCCAAGGATTTACTTAAGCTTGGGAAACCACCTGACAGACTTTTTGCCACCTACTTTGTCGCTGCGGGGGCTGTCGGCATCTACCGAGCGAGGCGAGTCCTCCTCGGTGAAGGAGAAGTCCCGGGCCAGGTTGGGTGTGGAGCCGTACACCTTCATGTCGTCCAGAATCTCGCGGGAACGGCTCTTGATGCGAGATAGCATGGCCCCGCGTTTCTTGGCCGATCGGCCTGACGGGGGTAGTCCGTCCCGCGGGGATCCCTTTGGTGAATCGCGCAACGCTTGTGAGTCCTCATCACAGCTTGTGTTGTCTACTGGGAGAGCAGCATTATTTGAAGAGTGTTAGAACCACACATTGCATTGGGCCCCAACCTGTGTGCGACTAAATCAGACACCGCGGTGTTTGATGTGTTTGTATATACACTGCAATAACCGAATGTGAATTCGGTTGAGAGCTAAAATTTGTCTTTTTTTCAACCAGCTACGTTAACATTCCTACTTCCGACTGCTTGATAGTGATGTCATTCAGCATTCTGGTAAAAAGAAATTCCAAGATGCATAAGGCTTACTTTCTTTGTCAATTTGCCACAGACGAAGCAACACTAGGGAATTAAGCTGATAGGCAAAGCAGATGCATGACTTCCTTTACAGATCCTACAAGAAGTATTACTTTTGCTCTCAAATGCAATCTTCATTACTTTTAAGTAAACCTTTCTCATTTGGCATGGTGACACAGTATAGATGTAGTCATGAATGATTTTCTCCTCCTATCAAACTTTGCTTAAATGTATGTGAACAAAATGAAATTCAATATGATGAGGGATAAACAATAGATTTTAAGGTGGAGCAAATACTCATTCTGAAGCAAGCTTTTCATGCAGAGTCTTTGGTTGCAAACAGCCAGTCCATATCCCTATCTCTATAGTGACTTATACCTCATAAAAACACTGCATCAACACAGCTTTGAACAATCTGCAGTTGCATCGGCATGCCCACTTTGTCTGTGGTCCCGTTCAGGGTATAGAGTGGCCGTTATATCTGAACCAATGAAACAGAGTTGTAGCTGAGCCAATCACAAGTGATTAAGTCAAATCACCCCTCAGGCCATAATTACAGGAGATAAACAATTCATCAGGACAGCTTCAATTGAAAATTGGTGATTCATGATCAACTTGTCACCTGGCTACAACTCTGCTATGAAGTGCATAACTGAAGCAATGTACAAGCCTGTCATGCCAGATGTGCACGACAATAAAATCAAAATAAAGTCAAGCTTGTTAATACACCAAGATATTGGCAAGAAGGGTTAACTTTGATATTAGTGCAGGTTCATTTATCAGAAAACCTGCAGTTACAAGTGACAATATGACTCTACAAAATACATCAGAATGCCTTGAATCCACTTTACCCTTAAATACTTAGGCTCATCCTATTGTCTCTGGATTTCAAACATTGCAGAAACTGCAATATCTTGGACAAAATGTGTTTCAGAAAACTGTAATGAAAACTCCACAGAAGACTTACAAACTTCAACAATTCAATCATTTTTCAAGGCATTCTTAAATTTGAAATGTAAAATGTAACCAAAATTTACAAGGCATGTATGAAGTGGCTCAGAACAAGTTGTTGCTAAAACCAAAAAATGTTAAGCTCAAGATGATAAAACTTCAGTCATGCCAAAATATTAATTCTGCAATTAAATTAGAGAAATTATACGGGTGGAGGGGGAAAATGGTAGATTATAAGTACAAAATAGATAATATTAAAAAGAAACTTGTTGAGGAAGTTGCATTAGTTGATAATTATCACACAGCTCACGGGCAAATGGACACTTTTTTAGTGGTGACTGCTGATGGACAGGTTCCCTGGCACTGTTTTATATCAACAATGCGTAAATTTAGACTGGCAACCAATTATTCTCTACATGTGTAACCCCCAGTTGAACATTATAACTATCAAACCAGATCAAACGGCTCACTGAAATATTGACCTTGGGCTTAAAGTAGAATCTTGCTGGCTGAAACGTTTGAGATGCATTTCATTCCAACTTTCAAGCGGTGAACTGCTACTGGTACTAAAGCAGATCAATATGCTTCAATGAAAAATTGACATTTGGCTACAAACAAGATCTAGCCAATTGAAATTTTTCAGACATGTTTTATTCCGACTAATAATCAGCTGCTGACACCTTGATCTATGACAAACACCTCAAAATGTATCCTTCACAAAAGTCTCACAACCTGCAGGCTGTTATGGTGGAGTAAATAAACCTGCAACTCACAATCAACCTTTACACTGGACTTGAAACTAAAGTCTACATGCTCAAGACAACATTCTGCAAAGCTCTGCACATCAAAATGGATGTAAGATGACCAGGCTTCACTTAGCACCCCACCGATGGTAGCTGCGTTCAGCCGTGATTTAACTCTGTCAGCAGGTTCGCAATGCGATTGGTAATATTTATTTTGATCAAACTCCAGTCTCAGCAACAGCAATTTGTTTTGAAAGCCAACTTTTTCAGAGTTAGAATGCAGGAATGAAAAATAAAAAGCAACTTTTCAAAATAAGAGCAACTTAAATCTGATGGCTTAAATGTGAAAATTGAGCAATGAGTAGCTTAGAAAAACACCAGCAAAACTGTAGATGCATACCATCCCCAGGACGAGGTGACGAACCAGTGGGTTGGTTAGGGGAGGCAGAAGATTGTTGGGGGAAGGGCTGAGGGGGTGGAGCTGTGGGGGATTGGCAGGTGGGGGATGTTGGAAACTCCTCCTCTTCTGCCTCCTTAGGGGGTGCAGCTAACGGTAGAGAAATGGACCAGTGGTTAGTATTAAGCCTGACGGACTGCTTCTCCTGCACTGCATTTCGCTTTTTGTACAGCCAGTTTACTGAAAGTCAATGTTCAGGATGAGTGGGCAATGGAGCAACTACCAAAAATTAAAAAAAAAACTTAAAACCTCTTTCTTGGCACTGATTTAACTCTACAAATCTCAACCCTCTCACTCAAAACTGGGAGGGAATCTATCAGAGGAGCCACAAAGAAGCAATTACCATGGTGTATGATTGATACATAATGTGTACCATGATGCAAGACCAAGAATCGAAGGAAGAAAACAAAAATGAAATCAACGGCCAATAAAAATTGCTACAAGTTTCAGACATATTTTATGGTGGTTGTGTTTTGAAAGATTCTGCACATTATGCATGAAAATAACAGAAGGGAAAGTCTGCGATCCTGGCAGATTAGGTTGAAGACTTTAGAAAGTTTTCACGTAAAGTGTACACAGCTTCTCATTCTTGTTTGTTTATTGTCAAACTGTCCAGTACCATTTTGCTGTGTTGTAGGACAGCAGGTGATATTAGTTCAAATTGGGCAAAAAATTAGTTTTCCATCAACCACGATTAGAGCAACAACACAAAGCTTAACGTGAGCACGACTGTAAAAAGGGCTCTGTTGCTCTGGCTTTGAAACTGGCAGGCAGAAATCATCAAGGTCCTTAAGTCACAATCTTTGACAGTGACTATTACCTAATGTTTCTGATGGGCAAGCTTCGCATGTAAATGGATGCCAGAATGCAAGGGGAACCAGGCTACAATCGAATTCTACATTTACAAAAAATTTCAGACAGTTTTCTGAAAATTTGTTTGGATTTGTAACAAGACCTTCCCATAAATCTTCAGTGTAAAGCCAGAATTAACATTGGGTTCCACACTGTTTTCAACCAAACCCATATTTTCGACACTTTCATGTACAATGCCTTGATATCAATTACCTGCCAATTTCATACTCAAAACAATGGACAGTAATATCAAAACGTATTAATAACAATGTTTCTACACATCAACCGCATACAATAATTAACGCACCCCATCAACCACCATGCAAACGCCTGGGCCAAAATACCCTCATGCCCATGACACAGGAAAGGAAAAATGGGGTATTGTGGGAAAAATTGCAAACCAAAGCGTTCTGGGATATGATGCAATGTTAAAAAAAAAAAAGCTAACAGGTCGGCTACTGTACCAGAGGACGTTTGGGAGAAGTGACGGTGTCCGTAGGACAAAGGTGATAGGCCAGCTGGTTGGTCGTAATCATACATACTGCGTCGACGTACTGTGATAGAGAATACATGTAGGTCCAGGGATGGGGGTGGGGTCGGGATGGTGGGTTATGCAAATTACACAAGGTTGGGTTGAAAACACCACAATTAAGCACCAGTGGACAAAATTCATCTTGCAAACCAAACAAACCTAAATCACACTGCACTTTGGCTTATTACTGAAGCAACTACCCCTGAAATATATGCATTTCTCAACACAAAGTGACTTTTTTCAATTCAATTAAATGCTTACACCATGCATCAACCACTGTACATAGTCAGCTACTGTTGTCCGAAAAACTGCTAAACTTGACACTTGTAAACAAAAAAATTAACTTTTACATTACACTGATGTACAGGTAGATATAAAGTGAGACCATGAATTCACTGCCTCCAGTTAGAGATACATACACTCATGCAAACTCGCAAACTTTGTCCTGCAGAACGGATAAGAGACTGTCAATGAATGACTACCTTTTTTGAGGGAGGAGGTATAGAGTGGCTGCTTCGGTTCAACTGACGATATGCTGTGACTGCGAGTTTCTTTAGTCCGCCTGAGGTCGTCCACCGACATACTGTATCCACCTAGAGTACGAAAAACCAGATATTCACAGTTGACTGATGCTAAGAAGAATTTGCCAGAGCCGGAAGTGGAGGAATCTTAACGTGATGACTGTACATCGAGAAGGCACCTGCGAATGGCTGAAGCATAGTGCTAGCTACTGCACAAAATGACTAGCCTGTGATGCTTCCCTGAACAGCTCTGTACTGATAGGATATATGGGTAATTCCAGAAATTAGGGGTCCAAAAGTGTGCCATTTTTGTGTCCCTGTTACATCTGACCTTTGTTATATGACATGGAAATGTCACTGGAATTGATTTCAAACTATTACTTTTTGTCTGGCAGGTAATTTGCATTAATTCATCGCTCTTGGAAATTAGAAAATGTGTTCTGAACTTACAAAATCATATGTCAGATGTGACAGGGACACAGAAAAAAAGGCCCCCTAATTTCTGAAACTACCCATATGACACATGACTTGCAATATATGTGATGTATGATACATGATATATACTATAATATGATCTCTGCACTGATATGATATATGACACACGATATAAACTATGATACGTAATACATGACATGTATGATATGATTTGATTGGTAAAATTAAAACAAAACATGTGTAAATGGCTGCTGAAAACAGCACAACATCTTCGAAAAACTTATATCTACTGAATGTGTCTATCCATAGCCACAGGTAGAGGTGCTTTATTTTGAAATGGGCCAGATTCTCACACGGGCCTGATTCTAACATGGGCCAAGGCTTGATGGTACCTTTGCTGGGCATGTTAGAGTCTTCATGAGCTTCCAGTACATGAGCTGGCATGGATTTCCTATAGTGACCCTGCATTGCTGACGTCTCTCTCTTCCTTTGTACGACATGGTGGTTGTCATCACTACCTCTTCTTTCGTCTGAAAAGATACAAAATGGAAACTGTAAGTCCGACTTGTGCAACAGTTTTCATTCTTGATTTCTGTCAAAAGAAATTTGCTCATTAATAATTTTGCGAGCGGCCATCTCTGTCTGAAACATACTTGTTTCATATGGGATTGAGCAGCTAGCTCAACAGACAGCTAACTCAGACTGACAACAAACATGTGCGTAGAAGTGCCTGTAAAGTGGAGAAAGTTTAAACAGTTGAACTGGTCCAAACACCAAACAAAGGAACAGATCACTCCTTAATGGTTTGTGAAGTGAACTCATAAACTGTGAACTAAATTGACCAAATTTGGGAAAGGGCAACATATCTCAAATTTCATTGTTCTACAAATGAACTTCATAAAAGTGGCATCTCACCCGTCTTCAAGTTGCCTGATCCATCCAGTGAGTCGATCCCTGAGCCAGCTGAGGATGTCTCCCCAAGGCTGTCTTTCTCCGTCCCGCTTAGTCCCTCTGCCGGATCGTGGTGTATCTCCTGGGTCTTCTTGCGACGGTCTCGGTCAGTAGAGCGCCCTCGCTGAATATTAAGGAGCAACAAGTAATTTATGTCAGTTTTCCCAGCAAAAACAACAAAACATGCCACTGGAACAGCTTGGCACACATCCAAATCCAAAATTGATGCAAATATTTTTTGGAAATGAAACTTAGCTAGATTCCATATCACTGTGCTGTTTTCCAGGGAAAGTATGGAAGGATTACACTGGATACAAAAATGATCCTTGAATTTACTTTCATCGGAATTTCTAAAAACCATCCCCTTCTCCCAATAAAAGAAATTCCCAAAGTTTCACCTGTTTCCAATCTAAATAGTTAGCTTTGCAAAATCTAAGACTCTTTAGATGTGAAAGGGAGAGAACAAGCTCACCTTATAGATCCTCTTCATGAAGTTCAGATTTATCCCCCTGGATCTGTGGAAAACAAACAATATTTGTCTTGAACGTTCTATCGGACCAAATTTTTACAAGTGGCATACCATCAGTTGCTCCACTCAGATTTAGGATGAGATCCTGCGGCTATGAATGAAAACCTACTCAAGTTGGAATCAAACCTACCCCCTACTGCTTGCTACTAAATGTAGTAAAACTCAATCATTACTTGCTGATGAGAGTACCTGTCACACATGCAAGACTTGAAAGGAGAGATTCTATATAGAAAAGTCAGGCAATTGAAAGCAAAGTGAAGCATCTTGATTCAGACCCTCTGGAAAGGGAATGACACAGCATGGAGACATTTTATCCTGGACGTGGAAAAAGTCAGTCATGTGCAATACATCCCTCTTGCTGATTCTAGGCAAACTGCTCAACAAGTGATTGGTGGGCTTTTTGTAATCATAAAAATAGACAAGTGAGCTGACTCTACGTGGTATTGGGTCATTCCACATTATTCCCCAACAAAACTGGCTTCAATCAAGCCTTCCAATCAGTTTCATCATCATCATGATCATTGGACAAAGGCATTTGATTTGTCTGTGGTTGCCTCCTCAAATTGTAAAGAGCTGGGATCACAAGAGCCTCTCCCATCAATTTCAGTCCAACATGAATGTTAATAACCAACCTACCTTTTGGGAGGAGTGAAATTCCTGTACTGATCCATGATCTTTTCCTCCAGTTTTTCTTTTTGCCTCCTGAGGTTGTGCAACTGCTCCCTGGATGAGTAATAACAGACCAAACAGTACAACTGAAGTCATCGATAGCAAGCATTTCTTTGACGCTTCAGGACTATAAGATCCATTGATGCAAAATGACAAGCCGTGATGAAGAATCACTTTGAGATTAATCTTTCACCAGGGACTGGCCAAGACTACCCTTATCCATAGCCCACCCAGAACAGTCAATACAGAATCTGTTGCTCTTCATTGTAGTGGTCCTTGGTTATCAGGGCATCGTCAGGGTCTCTGAATTCTGAGGCAACACTACCTTTCCTCAACCTACCCCCAACAACCAATACCTACCCTAGGAAATGTTGCAACCACCAACATCTACAGACGTAATAGCAACCACTATCCTCTTTCTACCCATCCAAACAACTAATATTCACTCTAAGACAAATTGCTTTTATGGTGGAATTCTATGGTTTTTAACCCCGTAAAACCGGGATTCTTTTGACCGCGACTGCTGGCCTGCGGTATGCCCAGTATGCAAAGCCCTATCCAGCAGCAGGCCCACATTGAAACCGCAGGTTCATGATGAATAGAATGTATGTGTGGTATGCACTAATCCTCACACAAAGCAGAGGCTGTAACCTTCTCCCGGCGTTAAGGGGTTAAGGTGACCATCAGCATCTCTGAGATTTGCAAGTGCAAGCACTACCCTTGCCCAATGCTCCCTGAACGGCCAATACTCACTCTAAGACATGCTGCTCTTCATGATGATACTCCTTAGTTTCCAGGGCCTCCACCAGCATCTCTGAGTTCTGAGCAAGGAGCTGGCTCATCTGCTCCATGAGTTTCTGGTTCTCCTCTTCCAGCTTGCTGTTCAGCTGGTTCAGCATCTATTGGACAATGGTGAGAATACAGGGCAGAGACAGCTACATGACAAATGTCTGAATGGCAGTGTTTAGTTCAGTTGAGTGCAGACACAAGAAACTCTAAAGAGCTAATAGCACCATCCCCCATTACAAATCATCATTTGCACATCAAATCTTTGGTTAAACTGCATGCATTGTTATCATTTGAGTATGCATTTAAACATACTGTGTTTCAACTACAAAGTAAGATATTCATGGTGGGTGTTGGGACCCAGTCAGGAAACAGGTATTTTAGCTCATTTATGTGTTGACACATTCTGACTGATTCAGGTACCCCTCAACTAGACATAAGAAAATCAGTGTCTCCCTACAGGTGGCGCCAAGCGAAGGCACTTTTGGTTTTTGCAAACTAAATAAAACTCACGTTTACACCATGCTATGCATTCACAAACCAGTGTACATATTTTACTTGACTACAATGGAGAGACGCACAAAGGGAGCAAACCGATTGTATGTCCTCAAAAGTCATTCCTTTTTTCATATTGGCCATCTGGGGTAAGTGCCTGCATTCAGGGACTGTTTGTTTCACATGGATCTGGATCGCAATCAGTGATCCCAAAGTCGGTTCACACTATCCATTAGGCAGCTTCTGGTGTCAGTGAACCAATGTCGGATCACTGATCGCGATCCAGATCTTTGGGAAATAAACAGGCCCCTAGTCAATGGGAGAGTGTTATAATTAATACTGCAACAAAGGGAGATACAACTTTGCTGTCCTGTACGCTGAATGTATGCCCCTCCGTCGAGCTCGCATAAATGATCATGCAGCACCAATGATTGATCCTGTAAGGAACAAAGCCTACCTCACAACGATGGGTGAGCTTTGCTATTTCCATCTCCGCTGATGTACACTGGTCTTTCATCTCATTCAGATAGCCCTGTAAGGAGGTATAGTCCAACTGAAGGTTCCTGTCAGACGGAGGCAGAAAAGGCAACTTACTGTTTGTGTAGAAGTAAATATCTCTAATCATGCAAAAACTTCACGTTAAAAAGTACAATGCATTGTGATGACAAAATATAACAAACATCAGCGTTCACACAGTCTCGTGGCTAGAAGCAGCAACCGAATACGGGCACCAGAAACTTGTGCAGGCATGTAACTTTGATACTGTCAAAACTGTCTCATCATTATTATGTAGATGGTGCAGGGACTAGATATGGCATGTTTTCATACAGGGATGGCTTCCCTTTGATGGGAACACACTCTATGTGCACAGAGGTTCACGCACGTTTGGCGTGGAAAGTGCTGACCATGAGAGACAAATTTCTGGCTAGTATGCCATACACTAAGTTGAAATTCCCCCCCCCCCGTCTGTCTTCTTTTCTGCCAGTGAGTGGGTGCTTTGAGTCTGAGGGGATTAAGACACAGGCTAGAGTTCATCTTTCACATGAAAAAACAAGCGATGCATGTTTTCCATCAGGAAACATTTGCGGCAATATTCACTTCAATTAGAATGTGTCAAGTAAATCTGATTTGACGTCACATATTCTTTTTGTGTACAGCAGGTACCTGTGCTGAGCTTTTAGTTTCTTGAGTTCTTCCTCGACTTCCTTATACTCTTGGTTGAGTCTGACGTGTGCGTGCGACAGCGAGTTGAACTCAAGCTGCAGAGAGCTCATGGACAGATTGTCCGTTCGCATCTTCTTCAGTTTCTTCTCCTCCTCCCGTACCGACGTCTGCAACCGTTCCACCTCCTTGGACTGCATCTCCGCATCCCGGCAACGGTTGCGCAGGTCCCCAATCTCGCTCTTCATCTCTCTGTGCACTGTCTTGAGTGACTTGTGCTCGGCAGTCAGTGCCTCATACTCACTGCTCAGCGTGTCATGCAGCTGCACCAGTGTCTCGTGGTCAGCCAGCAGTGCCTCGTAGTTGGTCAGCAGCTCATTCAGCCGCTCCTTCATCTTATCGTAGTCGGTCTCGTGTGAGGTCAGCTTGGCCTGCATGGCAGTGTACTGTGACTGCAGCGAGGCGTTGTGTGACTGCAGCGTGCTGTTCTCTACCTGCAGCTTGGCCTGCTGCGACTGCATGGAGATCTGCTTCTCCTGCACCAACTCCACCTTGTTCTGCAGAGCCTTGTTCTCCGAGCGGAATGAGTCCACTTGGCTTTGTAGACTGGTGAGCTGGGACTTGAGACTGTTGTTCTCAGCAAGGAGGGTGGCATTCTAGAGACAACAAGACTTGATTCAATTTGTGAAGCAAATACATTTTGCCTCATCTACAATTATAAAGTTAGAACAAAATTTGAGCATTATCAACAAAGAACAAGATAAGCCTTATATGCCATTCACAGACCAAGACATGCCAAACAATCAAATGTGATTAACATAAGAGATTATTTAGAAGTAATGAACATTATACAATTGAAGGGCACATTTGGATAAATACCTGTTAACATCAATATTTGAGAATAAACAATCACGTAAACTGATAAAACTATGTATTTAGGCCCTTTCAGTCATACGTACTGATCGTTCCACCTCCACAAGATGATCCTTCATTTGCATAATCTGCTTAGAGTGCAGACGATCGCTGTCTGTTCTCCTAAAATTGCAAAAGGAAGTAAACATCAATCAATACCACTTCAGATATTTCCATTTCACTTTGCTGACTTCGCTGACACACTTTAGTTGAGGCATATTAGTTTAAAGGACGATGCTATGTAAATTACTTCACAAACGAATAGAACTGATTGTAAAGGAAGATGTGTCTGA